CTTGAGCCCAGGAGTTGGAGGTTGCTGTGAGCTGAGATGCCACGGCACTCTACCCAGGGGGACAGCTTGAGGCTCCTGTCTCAAATAAATAAATAAATAACTGAGCTATAGATTACTTCCTTGATTGCTTTTTTCAGACTGTTTGCTCTTGGCATACAGAAATGCTACAAGTTTCTGTACATTGATTTTGTATTCTACAACTTTACTGAATTCATTTGTCAGTTTTGTTAGTGGAGTCTTTAAGTTTTCCTAAGTTTAAGATTATGTCATCTAACTGAGTGCAGTAGCTAATGCCTTTAATCCTAGCACTTTAGCAGGCTGAGGTGGGAGGATTGCTTGTGGCCGCGAGTTCAAGACCAACTTTGGCAATATAGTGAGAACTCCATCTCTATTTTTAAAAAATGGAAATCCCAGCTACTCAGGAAGCTGAGTCAAGATTGCCTGAGACCAGGAGTTTGAGTGTGCATAAGCTCTGATGACACCACTACACGTTATCCCAGACAACAGAGGAAGACCCTATCTCAAATATAATAAATAAATAAATAAATAAATAGGACTTAATCAAGTTTAAAAAATCATGTTATCTGCATATAAGGCTAATTGACTTTTCATTTTCCCATTTGGGTGCTCTCCTTCTCTTGCCTAATTCCTCTAGCTAGAATTTTCAGGCCTATGTTCAATAAAAGTGGGTGTCCTCGTCGTCTTGTTCTAGGTCTTAGAGGAAAGGCTTTCACTTGTTCCCTGTTCAGTATGATGTTGGCTATGGGTTTGTTATATATGACATTTATTATGTTGAAGGATGTTCCTTCTATACTCGGTCTGTTGAGTATAGACATTCACAAAGCAATGTTGAATTTTATCCAATGCTTTTCCAGCCCCTATTAAAATGATCATATAGCTCTTGTTCTTGGTTTTGTTAATGTGATGTATCATGTTTATTGAATTGCATATATTGAACCATCCTTGTATTCCTGGGATAAACCCCACATTTCATGGTGAATAATGTTTTTAATGTGTTGTTGTATTTAGTTTGCTAACATTTTTGCTGAGGATTTTTGCATTTATATTCATATTAGCCTGTTTTTGTTGTGTACTTGTCTGATTTTGGTATTAAGGTAATGTTTTCCTAATAACATGAGTTTGGAACTAATACCTTCTTTTCAATTTTTTTGAAGAGTTTGAGTAGAATTGATAATTAGTCATCCTTAAATGTTTGGCAGAATTCAGCAGTTAAATCATTAGGTCATGAGTTTTTCTTTGGGAGACTATTTATTACAGCTTCAGTCTTCTTACTCATTACTGGTTTGTTGAGATTTTCCCTTTCTTCATGGCTTAATCTTGGTAGGTGGTATGTGTTCAGGAATTTATCCATTTCTTTTAAGTTTCCCAATTTGTTGGTGTATAGTTGTTCAAAATAATCTCTAAATTTTTTTGCGTTTAATATTCCTGTGATCTCAATTGCATCTTGTTTTTCACTCCTGATTTTATTTATTTGGGTTTTTTTTCTTGTTAGTCTTGCTAAAGGTTTGATTTCTTTCTTTTTTTTTTTTTTCCTCCTTTGAGACAGAGTCTCAGCTGTCGCCCTGGGTAGAAGGCCACAGATCATAGCAACCAGCTCCTGGGCTTAAGGGATTCTCTTGCCTCAGCCTTCCAAGTAGCCTTCCAAGTAGCTGGAACTACAGGTGCCTGCCACAACATCTGGCTATTTTTTGGTTATAGTTGTTGTTTGGCAGGCCCAGGCTGGATTCAAACCCACCAGCTCTGGTGTTTGTGGCTGGTGCCCTAGCCCCGAGTTATAGGCACTGAGCCA